AGACTAAACATTTGCAGAGGTTGAAGAATAATTAACCTAGATAACACACACAAAAATGTTATTTTTTTTTCAGTTATGCATTTTTAAGATCCACTTATAAAGTCATGAACTTTTTGTATAAATCCAAGGAGGAGTTAGTGAACAACATTTGTCCCACTTTATTATTATACATTTCATAAATAAAATAATTAATATGCCTAAATTTTTCACTAAAAAATGAGTGAACGAAAGTAAAACAAAACACAACTAAGAAATACACTTCCAGTTTAAACATTTGAAATAGCACGAAGCTTTTCTTATTTTATTCAAACACACCTACTCTGTTGTTATGGCTGTGTTTGGATATACGCCAGAGGTGGCCTATGGTTATCCATGGGTACCTTTGGTTTGATATTCTATATATCAAAATATCAAACCATTGGTACCCAAAGATACCTATGGGTAACCATAGGCTGCCTTAGGCGTATATCCAAACACAGCCATTGACACATTAGAAAGTTGTTTCACTTGACCCATATATTTCCTGTTTTGGTACTGTGAATGTGTAATGTTATTATATCAAAATGTAGCCTAAGTATATAAAAAAAATAATGGATCTGAAGCGAGACTGATGTATCAATATTTTTGCTTTATACGTATTCAGGACAAAACAGTCAACTCAAACACACTTGAACGTAAAAAGGTGTACCCGATTTTCTCTTTTGATAAGATGAAAACCCTTTTTGGTTATTTTACCCCAAAAACTAAAAACTACATGAAATGTAGTTTACTGCTTGAAAAAGATCAATCAGTATAATTCGACAATTAGAAGAACACAGTTGGAATATCACAAATCATCACTAAAAGAATTCCAAAACTGATGAGAGGACTTTGTGTTTCTAGCTCAGATTTTGAATTAAAAATTATAAAAAACCAACTAACGAATAATGAATTTTTATCTTTTTTCTACCTCTGCTGAGTCAAACAAAGTTTTACGAGGGGAGTCTTTTTCTTCTATGGGATATCCATCCTATTTGCAGGGTCGCCATATTAAAAATATATGCGTTTATTTTTAAATATAATTTACCTCGTTAATATAGTTATAAATGTTAAATTAAATTCATTTAGTGTATTTTGACATTTTGATACCGTCCTTCTATTTTTTTAGTCAGTGTAGGTATCGGTGTCGGTATAAGTGTCCGTGTAGATGACTTTTCGAAAATGTCTATTAGTCGGTGTCGAGAGTTGTTGAAAAGGTCTATTACAAAAAGCGAATATCCCGTTTCCTTTTTCCGCTATTATATTCACTTTTTACAAATGTATCATTATCGAGGCCCATCGTGGAGGTATCTATGTCAATTATACAGACATATACTATTATTAACCACATTTAGAGAAGTAATCTTAAAGTCGGCAAGTAATGTTTGCATATGGTTCATTTATTTAGAGAATCAAAGTGTGTCAAAATCAGGACTTACTAATTAATTTTTCGATTTAAAGAAATAAGTTTCTCATTTTCACCATGTAGATCAAACAAGTTAGCCTCTTGTTTTATATTATATTTAGTTTTTCAAAAAATATTCTGTTTATTGTGTTTTCGTTTTGGTAAATATGGTTCGTTTCGTTCCATTCCGTTTTTATTCCGTTTCACACTAAACAGGTACCTACTTTTCAGTCCTTTCATAAATTCTAATCAAAAATCTGAAAAATCAAACTTTTAAAAAGAGCATTTTTAAAATTTTGATTAAATATTTAAACTTTTAAGTTTTAAAACGAATTTTAGAATTTTAGAATTTTTATAATTAAGTGAAATTTTCAAAATTAAAAAAAAAATAAGATTTATAATTTTGATATTTTAAAACTTTGACCGAAATTCTACAAAACTAAATTCAAAAACTTTTAAAATATTTTAATTGTTAAGTGTTACACGGACCTTACATTCATCAATAGTTTGTTTATTTGCAGATGACCGCGTAATGTTCAGAAGGGTCCAAAATGATGCAGACTCAAAACTACATAAAAAATTATACTCGAAGAAGACTTGAATAACTTGCTAAGATGGGAATCTGATTGGCAAATGGAATTCAATCCCAGCAAATGTCAACTTCTACGCGTAAACAACAACCGCAAACCACCTTCCACATGTTATAACATTCATGGGCATAATTTAGAATTGGTTGATTAAGCAAAATACATAAAACCATTAATTCAAACACACACATAGAAAGCATAGCTAACAAGGCAAATTCAATAATGGCCTTCATCAAAAGAAACCTGCACCACTGTCCACAACAAACAGAAACTGTATGCTACACAACGCTAGTAAGACCATTGCTTAAGTATGCATGCTCAGTTTGGGACCCGAAGATCAGCCAGGTTTAAAATGAACGACTACATTGTACCAACGAACCAGCAGTGTAACATCAATACTACAGTGGCAACCACTAGCCGAATGGAGGACCAGATGTAAAGCTGTGGTGATGTGCAGAATAGTACATGGCCTCGTAGTAATACCAACGCTGGAGCTGCATATACATCATCAGAAGCTAGAGGAAACACAACACGATTTCTTGTACCATATTCCAGAACATAAATATACAGGCATTCCTTCTTCCCAGACAGTATACGGATATAAAAAAAACAGCCTTCCACAACATTTGAAAGACAGTACCTCACTAGTTGCTTTTAAGCAGGGGCTATTGAGCTGCAGCATCCCTTAATCGCACTGGAAAAAGTCTTTCACCTTTGTTGTCACACCAATCATGGACAATAGTGCGAAATTCTCAATTAGAGGACTGCACTGTATTGGAAGAAGAAGGTTTTATTACCTATGAAAATGAATACAGGGGTACAATATGTACCAGTTGACTAACATGCACATTCTAGACTGTACAGCATCAACAATTTTGGCAAATAAGTAGCATTTATCTGTCCCTTATCTGGTGAACTAGCATAGTCGGGCAAAACATGTAGATTCATTTATTTTCGTGGGTATCAATTTTCGTGGATCGAGGAAAAGTTGCATTTTTTGGTTATTTGATTTCGTGGTTTTTAAAAAGTCTGCAAACAAGTTTATAGAAAATTTTGTAATTCGTTTAACATTGAAATTCGTCACGGTTGTTCACCTGTATCCACGAATTCCACGAACATTGGTGTCCAACGAATAATAATGAATCCACAGTAGTCTAGTCCTCAACGTGATCGGAGGAGGCAGTCCAGTTAAGACGTAGGTGTAGGAATACACAAATGAGACAGCACCCACACAACCAACAGGCAGGGTTACGAACTTTGAGTTTGTTTTCAGTAACTGCGAGCATTGCATTTCTTTAATTAGGTAATGAGCTTTTCTTGAAACAAAATATTGTTTGTGGCAAGGATTTGTATAGTGAGACTATACAAATCCTTGTTTATGGTCAAGCTTATTATCGATTCTGGTGTCAGAAATTAGAAATAGGCGTTAAACAGAGAAACGCAAAAAAAAAAATGACAAAGATAGATGGAAGAAGAATGAAAATAAGCATTACTTTGTGTCTTTGTGTTATTTTTCGTAAGCCTTGTACCAATCTGTTGATTTATTTCATTTCCAACCGATTTTTACAGTTTGTTCTTATGTTGTGCGATTACCACTGTCCAGGATTAGGGGATGGTTGCACGCGCACAAACACGTTTTAGCCCACAACATTATTCATGTACCTGTCTGACGTCAGGAGCCTGTAATTGCTGTTGGTATCCCAGGTTTACGGAAAATTAATAAGGAAAAACTGACAAACGTTAATGTAAAGAAACGAAATTGTTTATTTCCATTTGCTCAATGTTATTGATGAACAGCGGGTAATCTTTCTGCAGGACCGTGTCCGGCTCCATAAAGCAAAAGTTACCATTGATTTCCTAACTTCTAAATCATTCATGTATTGCCCTAAAGGTCACCAGATTTGAACCCCAAGCACATATTTGCAGACGAACTTGATACACGCGTCACCCCAACCCCCAACTCAATCAATGGAACAACTCAGTCAAGTGTTGTTATATGATTGGTAAAGTATACCACAGCTTCCAATACACAATTTGATCGATCCATGCCAGAGAGAAGCAGAACAGTGTTAGCCACACATGGTGGTTATACAATAGATACTGATTTGATTAAACGTCACCGGAATTTGACAAATGTATCGTATGGGACTGTTTTTTTTTCTCAAATTTTTGTATCATGTATATATATGACATTAGAGTGCGAAACTTTAACTCAATATACCAAAGCATCGATTTAAAGTAAACCTGATAAAAAACATTTTGCGTTTGTTTTCTTTTTTTGCAGAGTATGCTTTAAATTGTTGGATACATTTTTGTTCATCATATGTGCATGCTGGTAGAGTGTTCATTGTTCATCGATTGTTTCCTCTTGTCCCATTGAACCAAGAGATTTTGACATTCCGACTCTGCACACACAGGTGAATTCCAAATATTTTTTTCAAAGTTACACTCATTTTTGTTTAATGCTGTGTCCATCCTTATCATCGCCTGTTCTCTTTTTGGCGAATTGTATGTTACAGATACAGATGGACACCTGGGTAGGATCTTCAACAACATTACAAAATTTATGTTTTTTAAAGGTTTTTCAACGATTTTTTGTTACGCCTAGCGGATTCTATCAGTTTACGTTTTGGTCGAGAAATCTGTGTGGCTAGCAGGTCGAAAAAGCTCTATTAATGATTGCTTTATTCTAACGTTGATGTTTGCTGCGTGCATTTTACAGTACGTTATACATTTGGGCGGTAAGCACCGGTTAACTTTTAAGGTATACCAATGGCAAGTCTGGGTAGAGAAAATGGTTAATACATAGGAAATAAATGGATTAAAAATCAATATGCCAAATGTGTTAGAATTCGTAAATATTTTGCAACCGTTAAAATTATGAGCTTTGGCCATCGGAAACACATTTTCTCAGAAACTGAAGGCAAAACACATCAATAAACAGTTGATCAGATTAAAACACAATAGAAAAATACTATTTTTGTTAATATTGCAAATTTATTTTTCATATTGTTTGCCTAGCAAATAGCTATCTTCCCCAACAAATATCTTCTGGATAGAAAAATTTGGTCCATCGTTGCCTGAAAAATCAATGGTTCCTAAACGGATACCATGTAAATTATATGTGATGAAGAATAAATATCCGTCATATATGTGCAATCCAGAAACCAAATTAGTCAAGGCAGTGGTTGGTGACAGCCTCTGTAATGACCGAAGGTTTACTTCTTGTTCGCTCCCGTAAGTAATGATGTCTTGTATACGATCCCATTTCAGTATATCATTGATTTCTTGTGCAGGGAAAAAAAAGCTCCTTGATCCGGAAGTCAAACTAACTGCATGGTATGGTCGAATACCGATCATTCTGACATTTGCAGCAAATGTGTTATTGTCAGAGGAACAATCTCTTAGTATACTTGTAGGTATTTGCCATGTTTTGAAACTAGCAACGGAGAAATAATAAACAAATTGGAAGTCCGATGAAATTGAAATGCCATTTATTCCTCCTATGCTAAAGATAGTTTCACCGTCTACAGTTATATTTCCCGCGCTTTCTTCGGCCTCCATTGAAGGATGTGAAAACCACCTAGATTTGTTTGTAATTACATCTACAACAATTAGTTTAAATGCAAACGAATCGGCAATATAGGCATACCTAGTAAATTCTTTATCTCTATCCAAAGTCAGATCAAAGAGCTTTGATGATGCAGATATAACCGAGTCGGGAAATATATGCCGGAACACTTCTCGCCTCGTTCTGATATAAAAAATCAGTAGTTTTCTACGACAGAATCGGACGTTATCTACAACTCCTTCGTCTAGTATCCATATAAGATTCGTATTAGGGTCAACTTTAACGCTTATTGCAGATTGAATGTTGTTACAATCGCCAGCTCTATTCATCTTTAAGTTGGGAAATGGTTTCAAAAAGGAATTTCCGTTTCTTTTTATTACGGTGTTAAGAGATGCTGGAATTCCAGGCTTAGATGTCCTATCTATAGGTGTGAAAATTTCTCCGTTTAATACATCAATATTTGATAAAGCAAGATTTTCTGGAATTAGCAGTTTCAAATCTTTAAACATCATTTTCATAGGTTGTGGAAAATCATAATCTAGAGTCACCCATTCATGAATAATCTCTCGCTCGCCTTCAACAGTCTGTGCTGAAACGAAATAAAATACTAGTAATAGCATTAGATATTATATAAAACACTCAAAAAGCAATTCAACGCGTTTAAAAGCCAGTTTCAAAAGTCATTGTTTTGATACCGATCACTTGCACACAATAATAAGCTTCTTTTAATTCCCAAAGCCATTGAGACCCAAAAATATTCATGTGCCTTTTCCAACTCAGGACTCGCCTTCATGTTGTTTTTTTTTTTATCTTATTTTGCATTTATGACAGATCTCTCATAGTTTCTGTTTCCTTTATTCATGGCTTAGACTCGCGACTATATTGTAGTCACGGGTCTATTTTTGAAGACTTCACTGTAAAAATGGTGTTTAGATCCTAAACACAATTCTAAGCACATCTTTTGTGCACTTTTTTTACACGTTTTGATCTAAACGTGTCTCAGTACAATGTGTTTAGGATTGTGTTTAGGATCGTGTTTAGCTTAGAAATAAGTGTTTTATTCCTAAACACTTTCATTCTATAACACATTTAAAAGTGTTTAAATTCAAGACATGTTTACATTTAATGTGCTTACTGAGAAAAGTGTTTAGATATTAAACACTATCCTAAACATGTAATACAAGTGTTTAATTTCTAAGCACAATTTTTACAGTGTATATGCTGCTCACTTGATGTTTGTTGGTTGTTATTGTCGTTAGTTTATATCTCATTGACATGTGCCCCTATCTCCTTTAGTAAGTGTCATTGACATGTGCCCCTATCTCCTTTAGTAAGTCTCATTGACATGTGGCCCTATCTCCTTAAGTAAGTGTCACTGACATGTGCCCCTATCTCCTTTAGTAAGTTTCATTGTCATTTCCTTTCTAAAGGGGATAATACAAATTAACAGCTATACATTTGAAAGATAGGATTATGTTGTTTTTTTTTTATCAAATATGGATAAAAACTACAAATAAAAGATGCAGTTACGATGCGCATATATCCTTGTCTTGCGCTTTTATAAATTAGTTTCATCTTTTTAAGAAAGATGTGTATTGTACAGTTAGATATGTTACGAATATTAGAGACCGGTCATTATTTATCTCCAGGGGGTGGCAAATAAAGAAGGGGGGTCAGAAAAAAATTCGGAACCTGGAAAAGCCTGGAGGGGACAGAGATTTCTTTATTTTAGAAAAAGTGGAGAGCATGCATTTTTAATTTTCAAATTGAAGCAATAAAACATTAACAAAAATAACAAATGAATAAATAACAGGGTAGTGATGAAAACCATGTATATACCACAATACCATTGGAGAAATACAAAATGACATGGTTCCTGTTTTCATATTTTTACACTTGATTTCTGGTACTGCTTTGAAATGTAGTGGTCAAAACTGTAAATTCAGAAATTATGCTTGATCTTATTTATGTTGGTTTTAAATTGTGGTTACAATAAACAGAATAAATAAGTGTAAACCAGACAATATTTGTTACCTAACAAACCTATTTGGCAGAATTATGAATGCTTGTTCTAATAACTGCGACATCTGATTGCATTTCTCACATTATTAGATAAAAACATCACATAAACTACTGAATTCACAGTATAGTATATGTGCACAGTACGTATAACGTAAAATGCAATGGCTTTTTAAAGAAATACAAACTTGTTAACTGTGACAATTTATTTGATTCGAATAACTTCAGAACCCAATGTCAAAGACTAGTATGAATAAATATAAATTATAACATGGCATTTTTCATATCAGACCCCTTATCAGCCCTAGGTTATGATATTAGTCCGAGAGCCGACAGGCTCGAGGGATGATTTTGACCATGGGCTGATAAGGGGACTGATATGAAAAATGACATGTTATAATCTATATTTATTGTAACAAGTTGTCTGATTCGTCTGAAAATTTCGGGGCAGATAGATCTAAACCTGATGAACATTTTTACTCCATGTCAGATTTGCTCTTAATGCTTTAGTTTCAGAGATATAAGCCAAAAACTGCATTTTACCCGTATGCTCTATATGTTGCCATGTCGGCCATGTTGGTTGGCAGGCGGGGTCATCGGACACATTTTTTAAACTAGATACCCTAATGATGATTGTGGCCAAGTTTGGTTAAATTTGGCCCAGTAGTTTCAGAGGAGAAGATTTTTGTAAAAGTTAACGGACGACGACGGACGACGGACGCCAAGTGATGAGAAAAGCTCACTTGGCCCATTGGGCCAGATGAGCTAAAAAGGGTAAAACCTCAACCCTCGCCTTTTAAATTAGATTGACAAAAGCTACATAAAAATGCACAATAAAAAAACCCTCATCAGGAAAAGAACTTAATTGTAAAATAAAGGTACAATAGATAACACAGACAAAAGTACAAACAACAATATTATACCATGTTTATTAAACAACGCTCGAACTTACTGGAAGACTTAAGAACTAATTCCGCCCTACACTTTTAATCGGTGGCTGTACTATAAAGATTTCAAACATCAAAGACATAAAAGCGAGAGAAAACATGATATCGTTTAATGCCCAGATCATAATTTTATTTTATTTTAATTTCATTGCAAGAAAGTTTTTAATAATTGTCACATAAACAACTGTAGTAAGCATTTGGTCTAAACCTTTGGCAAAAAAATAAAATTGAACGTTTTTTTTTTTTTTATTTCACAACTATGATCATAGCAGTTTTTTTTTAAATTGGATCTAATGCATATATATGCAATTGCTTTCTTAGAAAAAATAGTATGCCGTTCATACAATTATAAAAATAATAATACATTTTGCATCCCTCATCCCGTTTTTATTTTTATTATTTAAACAATAAAAAATATCTAAGTAAATATAAGCAGTCCGTTCCAAAATTACCATTCGAATTTTTTATTTAGATTAAAATGAGATGAAATTAACACTTACAATTTCCCATTGTTTGAACAATAACCATCATTACACAGACACAAAACACGTGCACTCCGATGCCTGAATTCATCGTGAATGTTATCTACGTAAAATAATTGAAATTGATTAAAATAGCGTTAGTAAAGGCTATTTTTAAAAGTATATATGTGACAGTTGTTGTTGACAAGGAAATCTTCCGGGTTTTTTTTCTCTTTTTTTTTCTTTTCGCTGACTTTTTCGTTGCAAGACTGAAACACTATTCCTTGTTATTTCCTAATTTTTTATTGTCGTCGTATGTTTTTAATTTTCTATTTTGGTACTTAAATATATCTATACTATTAAACGAGAAGACCTCATTTTGTGTGTGTAAACATATTTTATTAATTAAATTCAGGTTAAGTAATGTACACAAATTGGCATTTACATATTAATACAAGTGAATAATTAATAGGATCCAGAAACAAGCTGTTAGCTTATATTAATCCGTTTCCTAATTCAAATAAGAACATTTCATATTGTAATACTCAAGGAGTAGAGTGTAAAAAAATTAACAATGTTACACTAGATGGAAAACAAACAAAACATATACATGTAATAAGGTTGTGAACACAAAAGAGAAAAAAAAATTTTTTTTTTTTTTACATCAGATATACAATAATAAAGTGTATGTTTCTGAACGGACACAATTATTTAAGATATAAGTATTACTTGTTGAACAAGATGATTGTAATCATATGACAAATCTTTTGCTACTGAGTATGAATGTTTGAACTGCCAAGAATATTTCAATGTTTTGTTCGTAGCTGAAATCCGTTGAACCGTGTAGCAAAATTTCTTCTGACAAGAAATGTATGATATTGATGTTATAAAAATGCTGTTCACGCATGATGTGAAATCGGGGGCAGTGCAACAAGTAATGCGCTGTTGTTTCTATAGCACCACATAAACAAAGTGGTGAGTCCACTATATTTTTTACAAAAAGATGTTGATTTAGAGAACTGCATTGCATTCGAAGTCTTGAGTGATAAATTTGACCTAATCGCTTACCAATGTAATAATAATTTGGAGGCTTAGTCACCCGAGACTGGACACAATTCCTGAATGCCCCCACCGAAGTACTGGTCTTAGCATTCTCAGGGAGGAGATTCCATGAACGTACAGTTGCCGGTAAATAATAATTCGAATACAGGGCTGTTCTTGTTCGAACAGGGGGGATTAGTGACGAGTTTCTCGTATTATGATTATGTATGGTTGCATGGGATTCTGGAACTAAGTTTGATAAATATTCCGGAGTAATATGATTTTTCATCTTGTAAAAATAAATTAATCTGTGGCCCTCCCTTCGATCTTTAAGCTTTTCCCAACCCGTTTCGAGATATAATCTCTCTAGGGACACCAACCTAGTACCCCCAGTTACGATCCTGGCAGCCTCTGCTTGTACTTTTTCAATTTTATCGATCAAAAGATGTGTATAGTTGTCCCAGATAACATCAGCATATTCTAATAATGGTCTTATATATGTTAGGTATATTGTCTCGAGTGTTCGTCTGTCAAGGATGAATTTAAATTTTCGTAGAACATTCAGTCGTCTGTATGCCTTTTCGGTTATTACATCAATATGTTTATGCCAAGTGCCATCGTTTGAAATATGTAATCCAAGGTGTTTATGGGTAGATACCTCAGTTACAGTTACGTTGTTCATGTTAAGTTTTGGATGATCAGGTTTGTGAAGTTTCCGTGAAATTGTCATGGTCTCTGTTTTCTGAGGGTTAAAGGTCACTAGCCAATTTGAAGACCATCTATGGATTTTTGCAAGATCACTATTCAAGTTGTTTGCCGATTCTCGGGGGTCATCTACTATCAAATATAAACTTGTATCATCAGCAAACAACTTAATAGTGGACTGTATATCAGATATGATATCATTGATAAATATCAAAAATAAAAGAGGTCCCAGGATCGACCCCTGGGGTACTCCAGCCTTTATATTGCCCCACTCGGATGATACATTATTAATTACAACCCTTTGCTTTCTATCAGATAGATAATTTTTTACCCATGCCAAAATAGAACCTTTAATGCCAATAGCTTCTAATTTTCTCAACAACCCCTTATGCCAAACTCTGTCAAATGCCTTACTT